TGAGCCCCATTTTTGGCCAGTTCCACTGTACTAGTCGACAAAAACCATAAATATTTCGCTAGAACTCCATTTTTTCTATTGAATGAGTGCAAGAAACCACCCATTTACCAATTTCAACTATCCAGTACAGTGGTCAGAATTTAGCAATTTTGCCAATTTCAAACAAATTTCAAAAGATGCCAATTTCCGAATAGGGTCCAGAACAAACAAGAAATACATTCCTGGCACTAAAATGACATTTCCTCTGTTCATTAGTCATGTCTCAAGGCCCCTCTTACATTCTTTTGCTTTCCACTTTGAATTTTTATTCTCACAAAAAATAGAAGATTTACTGTTATGCAGACTACTGCATTAGTGTAAAAAATGGTATGAATCATATTGGCGCACTTGCAAAAGAATATTAGACTCGCCAGTTGACGTGTATTGGACGCTTGGCATGATTTGTTTACTTTTGAACTTTGGTAAAAATCAAACATTTCTGCTACTTTGAGCTCAATTTCAAGGTACTTTTCATTGTAAAACCAGTCAAAATCATCTCAATTTCTATGATATGCCTTCCATTCTATAAAATGAGACCAAGAAAACTAGAATACAACAATAAATACCATACGAAAATAGAGTGCAAAGTCGCTGTTTTATTCCAAAAAAAAAACGGTCAGTTTTTTTTCTCATTATGCACTGTGTGCTGCAGGATTTTTTTATACCGTGCACACTGACCACATAGACCCATTCTTTCATATGGAGGCCTATCAGCTTTCTCCCACTAGATTTGAGGGCGCTAGAATTTAGGCGTACTAGTACGTCAAAAACCCTGGGTCGTAAGCCGTACTAGTACGTCCGAAACCCTCAAAGGGTTAAGGACATTTGTACCAAGTGGAGTGAAGTGCAAAGTTTTGTGGAGTATTATCACCCTAACAAAACTGTTGCAAGCCATGTCTTCAACATGTTCAATGATAGTGCCTTCTCTCATTTTGGACAAATCTTAAGAGATGCCAGAAACAGAGCTCTCTGGACAGATTACAGCGGACCCCCGCTTAACGATCACCTCCCAATGTGACCAATTATGTGAGTGTATATATGTAAGTGCATTTGTACGTGTATGTTTAGGGGTCTGAAATGGACTAATCTACTTCACAATATTCCTTATGGGAACAAATTCGGTCAGTACTGGCACCTGAACATACTTCTGGAATGAAAAAATATCGTTAACCGGGGGTCCACTGTATTTTTGTGTGACGTGTGCAGTGACTCAAGTTAGTCCTAGTGCCAGTAAAAGACAAAGAAGGTAAGTAACCCTAGATAGGGCTTTGATACCTAAGTCCTTGTTTTCTGTATGTAAAACTATATTTATTCTCTATAAAATGTATTTTTTGTTAATACTTTTGGGTGTCTGGAATGGATTAATTGGGTTTACATTATTTCTTATGGGGAAAATGGTTTCAGTTTTTGCCAATCTCTCTGGAATGGATTAATGACGAAAAGGGAGGCTCCACTGTACGTCGCTAAGTGAGGAGAGGATGTCTTAATAAATAATAATAATAGCTCTGGAGTCGGCTACCAAACCTATACGAAATACGTATGACATTTAACCCTTTCAAGGTTGGTGCCGTACTAGCACGTGTAAATTCTAACAACTTCAAATTAAGTGGGAAATGGCTGGTAGGCCTAGATATGAGAGAATGGATTTGAGTGGTCAGTGTGTGTGTGGTAGGAAAAAATTGAGGGACCCAGTAATGCATTGTGGGAATGCCATTTTAGTACACCTTGCTCACCATGCCTCGCAGTAAGAAACTCCTCACTCCTCGGCGAATTGGGACACTTTTGTTCCCCAGTGACAGTTCGAATACAGATGGAAGTGTCAGTGAAGACGAGTTTCAAGGTTTTGATGAGGTTGTGACCGAAACTAATGACCATAATACTGGTAATAGTGAGGAAAATCCAGATGACCCTCAACCTTCCACCTCTGGTGCTGGGCCGTCTTGTTCACATTCAGTTGTACCAGAACAAAAGAGGAAACTCGTATTTTCCCATATCCAGGACTCAGATGTGAGCAATGTTGATAGTGAATATGAACTCCTAGCTCTTGAAAACAGTTCCAGTAGTAAGAGTGAAGTAGAATATTCTCCAGTGAAGCGTCAGTATATACGACGGTATATGGGCTCTGGTAGTGTGCCATATGTTATTCCAAGGGGAAGGAGTACATCCTGTGGCTGTACAACAGGAACAGATAGTGAAAATGAAAATGATAGTGTTGCAGTTGGGATGGAAAATGTGCATGCATCTGTTGGTGGTGGTGCCAGCCATGAGGCACCAGCAGTGGGCCATGCTGCTGACTCAGCTGAACTACAACAAAGGCCACCAACCTCCACAACCACCTGTCAGTATCCAGTACCCACCAGCAGACTGCACCTGAGATTGGCAGGAAGCTGCTTATTTTGTTCCCAATCCCCATCACTTTGATGAAAGTCAAAGTGGAATACGCCATCTTGTGCACTTGGTAACAATGCCACTGAACTGAAATGTTTCGAGTTATTCTTTGACAAACCCCTGATGGAAATTGTCAGGGAAAGCAACAGATACTTTGATTACACCATGGCACACACAATACTACTTTCACAAAAAAATTGCGCCTACACCAGTGGAAGGAGACAACTGTGGCCGAGATGTATCTTTTGTTTGCCACAATAATGCTTATGCCATGTGTATATAAGCAGTGTCAAATAATACTGGTCGACAGACTGCCTGATTGCAACCCCAGGTTTCAGCGATAGGAGTGAATCGATTTGTGCTGCTATTACGTATGCTTCACTTCTTGGACAAAACCAGGCCTGACAGAAACGACAAGTTATATAAGATTAGGAATGCGTTTGTATATCTGAAACAGAAATTCAATGTGTAGTATTTTTATTCCTTCACGAAGCTTGTTATTGACGAGTCTTTGATTCTGTACAAAGGAAGACTGTCATTCAAGCAGTACATACCAAGCAAGAGGAAATGCTTTGGTATAAAGTTGTTTGTGCTTTGTGATTGCTACAGTGGTCTTGTATTAGATATAATTGTGTACACTGAAAGTAATACATTGTGAGATACCAGGAAGTTACTGGGTGCTTCTGGTGATGTGGTTTAGAACAATGATGGAACCATATCTTGGCATGGGGCATATATTATATACTGATAACTGGTACATGAGCCCCTTACTCGGTGATTTCTTGCGAGTGAACATGACAAGGTGTGTGTGGCACAGTGCGTGGAAATCATAAACATATGCCCAGGTTCGACGTTGGCACTCAGAGGTGAGGTGCAGGCGTTTGCTGCCAATGACATAGCATTTCGGTGGCATGACGAACGAGATGTCACACTGTTATCGTCGGTTCACCCTAACGAAATGACACTAGCAGGCAGCATAGAGAGAGCAGTGAACCCATTCTAAAACCTGCAGCTGTGATTGACTACACCTTCAATATGCATTCAGTGGACAAATGTGACATGCAGACTGGGTTTGCTGATTGTGTTCGCAAGAGGTATAAGTGGTACATAAAACTTTTTCCATATTCTGGACATTTTCATGCTCAATGTTTATAGTATGTAAAAGATGAGGACCAGAAACAAACCACCATATGGCGAATTTTGTTTGTCATCAGACAAATAATAAAGTACCAAGGAACAACTGCAATAGAAAACTGCCCACTAAGTTATCAACAACTACCTTCTCTTCTGAAGCATGGTGATCACTTCCTAATGAAACTGCCTGCTACTGCTTTCAAGAAAAAGGCTCGGAAGAGGTGTTATGTCTGTGCACATACAAAAAAAATGCCCACAACAACTCAGACACTAGTTTTATGTGAGAGGAATGTAAAACACCATTGTGCATGACTGTGTTTCAAAGACTGCCACAGGCTGCAGAACTTCTAAGAACATGTCCAGTAACTGTATATATGTATATTTAATATAAAAAAAATGTAATAAACATTTTATTGTTCGTTTGTGTAAACATGTTTTGTAAACAATATAATGACAACAGTGTTTGTGCAGTGATTGTGTAGTACAGAAAGAGTGAATATTTACAAAATAGTCCTCATGTTGGTCTCACAGGCCATAAAAGTTAGTTGAAAAGAAAAAAAATAGTGAAAAATAATAGAAAAAGGTAGGAAAAAAACCAAAATGAATGATTACAGAGTGACCGGCAGTTGGCAATCTTGCCGTATGCGGGTTAATTTGTCAACTTCAAACCTCCATATCTCGGTAAGTATTGATGGCAAAGTTTTTTTTTTTTTTTAGCCCATAAAATTTAGAAAAAGCAAATCTTTTCATAAGAAAATTAATTTTTTTTTCCGACCCTGAGAACAAGTTTGGGAGAGGGCCTGCCAACCCTGAAAGGGTTAAAGAGCTCCAGAGTGATTATTTATTATTATTAATTATGATTATTACCATCAACATGCTCGTTCACAGAGTTGAATTATTTCTTAAGCTGCTGTAAGAGACAGAGAATGTAAACATACAGATGAACACACCAGCTAACCCCTTTACAGTGTACTTTTGTAATTCTTCCATTTTCCTCTGTTTCATCTTCCAAGTGCTGCTGCACTTCTAATTAGTTGTACTATGGGATGGACAATAAAGTACAAATGTGTGCAAATGTGTAGTCTTTGAGACTGAAAGCTAGTGTACTGAGTGGCTGTAGGAAGGAGATCGAGATGCTTGATGCTGCAATGCTCGTTTTCGTGACCCAAGTTCTTGTACAGCATACAATACCAACTCATCAGAGCCCATCATAACTCCGAGTTGTCAGTAAACGAGTACATCGGTAAGTGAGGAGAGGCTGTATAGGAATTTTTTGATCTTAATAAACCCTTTCACTGGGGTAAAAAATTAAGCATTGAAATTGGCTTAAAATAGGACTGTGAAATCACCGATGCATAAATTGCACCTAGACCATCATCTTTGTGATTCTGTAAATTTTCCATCAAATTTAGTTTTATGCTGTTTTTTTGTTTTTGCAGCGAACATTTTCCCTACTTCCGGACAGCTCCTAATGGTTGGAAGAACTCGGTTCGGCATAATCTTAGTCTCAACAAATGCTTTGAGAAGATTGAAAAACCAGTTGGTAAGTTCATTTGCATTTGCTATATCCCTTAATAGGTTGTCATAGAGGCTTAAGCATGCAAATGATTATTAAATGTATAGTATAAACTTGTTTGTACAGGCAGTTATGTATGAACAGACCGCCATTCATGCAGTACCCATGCCAAAGACTGGCTGACGTGATGGCTTGAAAATATTTAGTAAACCCATTTTTGGGTTTGAGTCACTGCCACAGCAATAATCCTCCAGCTTTAAGCTTTCAATAAAAAAAGAAAAAAAAAAAAAAAACTCCACTAAGGTACTTCACTATCAAATGACTTGCAATGCCAAATGTAGGCCAGCCATTTTTTCCCCCTTGTCTGTTATTGATAAATATAAGTTAATGTAACCAAGAATAACAAATATTAAATTTTGGCAAAATGTTAGATCAGGCAGAAATGCACAGACAGCAAATTGGAGGAAATTGCGTGCTGTAATTGGGGAAACAGGCTGGTGACAAAGAAGGGTACATCCTGATCTTTTCGTTGTATAATTGTAATGCAATTTGTATAACTATTGACATAAATGTAAGCTGAAGATGAAGCTTTACAAATTAAATCAGACAAATGAATATATAGACTGTCACCATAATTTACCTCTTTTGAATAGTATATTATTTCCTTAGTAGGTAACCATCACTGAATGTCTAATTCAAGCCAATGCTAGGGGATGCATGCATTTTTAAACCTTAAATTTGTCATGTTTTGTAATTAAAAAAAAATAGATGCCCATACATTATTTCATACCTTCATATACATCTTTAGCCAGTTTTAGTTTTGGACAATTTTATTGTTAATTTCATACCATTACTGATGGCACTGATTTTATTACAGCATTAAGGGCCAAAAAAGTGAACAGTTGGGTACAAGACCAATAGACAGGTGTTTGATTGCTTGGGGAAAGGGTACATGGAACCTAGCTCTAGCCAGCATTCTTTGTTTACTAAAAGCAAAGGAAACAGGAAGAATTTGTGATTTTTATTAACTTTTTACCTCTTCAGATCTTAGTCTAAACCTAATACAATAATTTTGAAGAACATTATTTAATTGATTGACATCCAGGTGCCAACTGCTTGGTAAACAAAGGTACATGTAATAGGGAATATCCAAATCATGCATCTTGCTTAGGGGTCAGTGTGAAGCTGCTGCTTACTATGTAGTAGCTCTCGATATTTAAAATAGCATTTGTAAATTAGATCAAATTGGTAATGGCTCTTTTAACTTAATTGCCAGTCTTCTAGGCAAACACGTTAGAGCTCTTCCCTTGTAAAACATGCATGTCGTTGAATAAATATAAAATGCCAGGTACAAGATGGCTGTTACCCATTTCCTTGTAATAGCCATAAAGATTTAATAGGGTTTTCAAAAGAGGCATATACTTTATGGTATGGTCAAGTATAAAAGATGAAAAGCTAGATGTTTGAAGCTTTTCTAATGGTACAGTATTAATGGTCTAGTAGTTGATTCTTTTGCTAGCAGACATTTAAATAAAAATTAATATTACAGTGGCTGGTAGTAATCAGCGTAAAGGTTGCCTGTGGGCATTGAATCCTGCCAAGGCACACAAAATGGACGAAGAAGTTCAAAAATGGAGTAAGAAGGATCTTCAAGGAATAAAAGATGCAATGGCATATCCAGGCAAGTGCATTTCTCTTGTACACATTTGCTACCATTTCTTATTTTCTCATAAATTTTTACTATATACTACAGTGAAGATTTTCTTAAAGGTTAGTGTGTAATTGAACATACAGGGGAGGAAGTTGGTTACATTACTTTCCACCATCACTGGTAACTATACTATTGTACTACTGTAGGCACAAATTACTGTTGTATAAGGCTGCTTTCACACAAAATTTGGCTAGTTTCAATAGTAGTCACATAGTCTTGACTATGATTTAACCATGCATGGGAATGTTATTTTGTATGTAACTACTGGAGGAAATCCTTTGCACTGAGGGGATCAATTTGGGGCAAGCCATGTTGACATGTTCCTCATTGATAGATTTCTGCAGATTCAGACAAAAAAATTGGGCGTGCACACTAATTATCAGGCAAAATGAACAGAAATCCGTAATTCTACATTTTGTCCATAGCGAAGGTGTCTGGTTGTCTACTGAAGTATCAGGCCAGGTCTGCAAAAAACTGTTGTCCTAAAAGGACCAAAGCAACCACATCCAGGACCTGTCTGGTTTTAAAGTTTCCAGAAATGTAGGTCACCCTCATCAGTTTGTGCTCACTCGCACATATTGTCTGTAATTTTCCCTGGATTTAGAGGATTTTGTGCGACCTTGTTAACATATAGTGGACCCCCGGATTAAGACCTAATAGGAATAAGTAATGGTTTTTGTGTCAAAATATTGGCTCGGTGAACGGCACTGAACTCGGTATAAGTCATTCATGTCAGGGCCTGAGCGGCCCAGTGTGCCATTGTTTTCCAGCCAGCGAGGAGAATCCCACGCATTCATGCAATACATTTTGTATTCCATTCTTTTTAGTGCTTGTAACTTGTTAGCATATGAGAAGTTTTTACAAAGTAGAAGTGATGCAAGGAGGGAAGAGTATATGGAGAAAGAGAGAGGTTAAGAGAGTGGTGAAGCAATGTAAAAAGAGAGCAAATGAGAGAGTGGGTGAGATGTTATCAACAAATTTTGTTGAAAATAAGAAAGTTTTGGAGTGAGATTAACAAGTTAAGAAAGCCTAAAGAACAAATGGATTTGTCAGTTAAAAATAGGAGAGTTATTAAATGGAGAGTTAGAGGTATTGGGAAGATGGAGGGAATATTTTGAGGAATTGTTAAATGTTGATGAAGATAGGGAAGCTGTGATTTCGTGTATAGGACAAGGAGGAATAACATCTTGTAGGAGTGAGGAAGAGCCAGTTGTGAGTGTGGGGGAAGTTCGTGAGGCAGTAGGTAAAATGAAAGGGGGCAAGGCAGCCGGGATTGATGGGATAAAGATAGAAATGTTAAAAGCAGGTGGGGATATAGTTTTGGAGTGGTTGGTGCAATTATTTAATAAATGTATGGAAGAGGGTAAGGTACCTAGGGATTGGCAGAGAGCATGCATAGTTCCTTTGTATAAAGGCAAAGGGGATAAAAGAGTGCAAAAATTATAGGGGGATAAGTCTGCTGAGTATACCTGGTAAAGTGTATGGTAGAGTTATTATTGAAAGAATTAAGAGTAAGACTGAGAATAGGATAGCAGATGAACAAGGAGGCTTTAGGAAAGGTAGGGGGTGTGTGGACCAGGTGTTTACAGTGAAACATATAAGTGAACAGTATTTAGATAAGGCTAAAGAGGTCTTTGTGGCATTTATGGATTTGGAAAAGGCATATGACAGGGTGGATAGGGGGGCAATGTGGCAAGTGTATGGTGTAGGAGGTAGGTTACTGAAAGCAGTGAAGAGTTTTTATGAGGATAGTGAGGCTCAAGTTAGAGTATGTAGGAAAGAGGGAAATTATTTCCCAGTGAAAGTAGGCCTTAGACAAGGATGTGTGATGTCACCATGGTTGTTTAATATATTTATAGATGGGGTTGTAAGAGAAGTAAATGCGAGGGTCTTGGCAAGAGGCGTGAAGTTAAAAGATAAAGAATCACACAAAGTGGGAGTTGTCACAGCTGCTCTTTGCTGATGACACTGTGCTCTTGGGAGATTCTGAAGAGAAGTTGCAGAGATTGGTGGATGAATTTGGTAGGGTGTGCAAAAGAAGAAAATTAAAGGTGAATACAGGAAAGAGTAAGGTTATGAGGATAACAAAAAGATTAGGTGATGAAAGATTGGATATCAGATTGGAGGGAGAGAGTATGGAGGAGGTGAATGCATTCAGATATTTGGGAGTGGACGTGTCAACGGATGGGTCTATGAAAGACGAGGTGAATCATAGAATTGATGAGGGGAAAAGAGTGAGTGGTGCACTTAGGAGTCTGTGGAGACAAAGAACTTTGCCCTTGGAGGCAAAGAGGGGAATGTATGAGAGTATAGTTTTACCAACGCTCTTATATGGGTGTGAAGCATGGGTGATGAATGTTGCAGCGAGGAGAAGGCTGGAGGCAGTGGAGATGTCATGTCTGAGGGCAATGTGTGGTGTGAATATAATGCAGAGAATTCATAGTTTGGAAGTTAGGAGGAGGTGCGGGATTACCAAAACTGTTGTCCACAGGGCTGAGGAAGGGTGGTTGAGGTGGTTTGGACATGTAGAGAGAATGGAGCGAAACAGAATGACTTCAAGAGTGTATCAGTCTGTAGTGGGAAAGGGAAGGCGGGGTAGGGGTCGGCCTAGGAAAGGTTGGAGAGAGGGGGTAAAGGAGGTTTTGTGTGCGAGGGGCTTGGACTTCAGCAGGCATGCGTGAGCATGTTTGATAGGAGTGAATGGAGACAAATGGTTTTTAATACTTGACGTGCTGTTGGAGTGTGAGCAAAGTAACATTTATGAAGGGGTTCAGGGAAACCGGCAGGCCGGACTTGAGTCCTGGAGATGGGAAGTACAGTGCCTTCACTCTGAAGGAGGGGTGTTAATGTTGCAGTTTAAAAACTGTAGTGTAAAGCACCCTTCTGGCAAGACAGTGATGGAGTGAATGATGGTGAAAGTTTTTCTTTTTCGGGCCACCCTGCATTGGTGGGAATCGGCCAGTGTGATAATAATAATAATAACTGCTAAATAAGCCACCGTGGGCTCAAAGCTTCTAGTGCCAGCCAGCCCTTTCGTAAAGGGCTGAGAGAGAGGGAAGAATGTGGCTTTCAGTGATTCTGTAATATGTATGATACTAAAGCAGCAGGAGTCTATAAAGGCTATAGTGCCAGCCAGTGATAAAGTGTAGCATTAACAGTGTAGCAAGTAAGTTAAGCGATTAATCGATAGAAAAAGGACAGCATGAAACTGACCCCTCCATTGTTGTTGGAGGTATATAGGGCTACTGACTAACACTGCTGCCTTCACCACCACTATGTAAGGCTTATCTTTCAGTGACCCTTATACACCCAACAACACACCACTACTCATGACATTCTTAATGCCATATTTTATTTATTCTCGAGTATATATCGTGTTTCTGTTATTAATTTTTTTTTTTCAACAAGTCGGCCGTAGAGCTGATACTAGTGTCATATTGAAGGACTATCTTGTCCCGTCTCCCAACAATTCCTAACGTACGCTAGAAACAGACCTCTCTGGAATACTTTTTTGAGTGACTGGGGTCCAGTGACTCTAGCTGGTCCTAGTGGCATTAAAAAGCAAAGAAGAGAAGTAGCCCAGGCAGCTAGGAAGCTTACAGCACTTTGCCGTATCTCGCATCTACCTGACAGTAGGGGTTGCAAGATTCTGTACGAGGCACAAGTACGCTCGCACCTTGAGTATGCTCCACTTTCTTGGTTTGCCTGCCCCCCCCCCCCCTCTCATCTGCGACTGCTTGACAGAGTAGAGAACAGAGCACGACGTCTCATCTCTCGCCTGGACCCATCCTGGATAGATCTGTCATTTCAGCAGAGCCTTCAACATAGGAGGGATGTGGGTGGCCTTACTGTTATGTACAAGGCCAATATTGTCAAAGTACCACACTTGGATCCACTTCGAGGACAGCGTGAAACAAGCTTTTATGCCACAAGACGGGCAGAAAGCAACAACTTCACTCTGGCTGTACCCTTCTCCAGAACTTCACTCCATCTGAGATCCTATATATCCAGGGTGACTCGAGTATGGAATACATTCGTACAGCATAATGATGTCAACGAGATAGTCAGTTGATCAAATGAAAATGCTGGCCCACAGATGGCTCCAACTTCATCCTGTTCTCTACATGTTTGTCTCATAACAATAAAAATGCTTTCAAGTGAGCTGATGTAGGTAACAGCTCTTAGCTTGCCAATAAAGTTAGGAATCCTTAACCTGTAAATAGCTTGTCAATAAAGCTAGGGATCCTTAACCTTGTCAAACCCTGTGTAAAAAAAAAAAAAAAAAAAAAAAAAAAAAAAAATGGTACCTCAAGTCTTTATGGAAGGGGATTCCCCTTCCAAACAATTGTAAACTCCTCCATCCTCTCCCCTCCTCTCGTCTTTCATACATCACCATGCCTTCAATAAAGGTAAATGTGATGTTATTGTTTTATTTTTCATGTATCATTGTTTTCTGTGTAGGTAAATGTATATTTCATGTAGAAAACATTTTTTTTAATACTTTTGGGAGTCTGAAACGGATTAATTGGATTTCCATTATTTCTTATGGGGAAAATTAATTTGGAACAAGTCAGATTCAGGATAAGTGACTCTCTCTGGAACGAATTAATTGCGTAATCCATGAGTCCACTGGATTAAACAAGGTACAGTTAATTATGGCTTCTAAAACAAGTGGTGGTGCTAAGAGAAAACTTGTGATTCTTAGCCGTCTACTTTTCGGCCATCTATATCTTGGCCATTTGCATTTGTTTGCTTTACAACTCGCTTGGAGTAAGTTATTTCGAGGCAGCACTATCAATAAAGAGGTTTACACCTAATCTCTACCACGAAAAGGTAAATAAAATTATTTAAAATCTTACACCCATGCACATTAAGGAGAATTGAAATTTTGGTCAAAGCTGCTCTCTTCAGGCATTGTTTCTTTTATACATCTTAGATTCAGTGCCAGATATAAGGTTGATTGGTTGAGG